AACCTGTTGGCGGGTGGGACCTCGGGAGCGCCACCCAGCACAGCCAGTGGCCGGTGTGCACCAAGGGGCTGTGCCCCCTGCCGTGGCTCCTTGGGCAGGTGTCGCTGAGTGAGGTGTTAGGGGCGCAGCATGGACATTGGGGTTTGCCCCCCCCAGGCGCGCTGGGCTGGGAGTGCAGGGCCCTGGCTGTGCCCAGCGGAAGGAGGGGTGCGATTCCCACCCTATGTGGGCCCCAAAGCCGAGTCAGCAGTGTCCTAGCTCCCTCTGCGTTCTGGAGAAGATGGCCCTTTCATGTAGGTCCACTCACATGAGAGTGGCCGGGTCTCACAGCCTGGGGACCCTCCTGCCCCAGGCCAAGCACCCTCTGGACCTCTTGCCCGTCAGAACTGCCCTAGCCTGTGCTTGCCCCCCTGCTGGCCACATGTCCCCAGACAGCACAGAGTGTACCCTGCCTTTGCTGTGCTTCTTCAGTGGCTTCCCAGGACGCCTCGAAAGACCACTGAAGTTTCACACGGGGGTGGGGGGGTGTATGTGACATGAGAGGCCAGCCAGGCAGGGGCTGCACAGTGTCCTGTCAGCCCCCTGTGGAGCTGCTCCACGAAGCCCACTCTGGTGTGTGTGCGGGGTGGTCATGGGGTGGGATGTGGGGGCCTGGGTGTCTGGGAGCCACTGTCAGGGTGGGAGGTGTGGCGTGCATGGCAGATGACAGAACCTGGGCTCTGGTGAGGGTCCCTCCCTGTCCCTAGAGGCCTGCAGGCCCCGCTTCCCCTGCCGAACGTGTGTCCTGCCAGGCCGGCCTCACAGGCTCGCGTCGGGCCACGCAGAGGACGGGTCACGTTGCCTCTGCTCTTGGCTTTGCCTGGTCCTCGAGTTTCCCAGCGGTCTCCATGCTGGTGGCTGTCACTGCTCCCTGATGACCCCGTCAGACGGCGGCGTCTCTGCTCTGTCAAGACCTCTGGCTTGTTTCCAGGTTGGGGACAGTCACGCTCGCGCTGGCTGGCGTTCCTGTCTCTGCCCTGTCCCGTGCACGGGTCACCTGTTGGTGGGCCGGCCTGTCACGGGCATGTGCCGGCTGTCCGGGACGTTCGGGGTGTGTGCTCAGCGTTACTGCCGGTGGCTTCCCAGAGTGCTGCCGGCTCCGGCCACCCCCCGGCCTCCGCCAACCCCCCCCCCCGGCATTCTTGCCAACGCAGCCTGACTTTTCGTTTTTGCCAACCTGGTGGGCGTGAGATGGTATTGTGTTTTAATGTGAATTTCTCTGACTCTAACGCAGGCCGTTTGTACTTCCCCGTCAGCAAAATTCCTCTTCCTTTCCTGTGCCAAGCCCCCTCCCCCGAGTTTCTGCAGCAGCTTCAGGGCGCTAGCCCTGGGTCGGCCAGACGGGGGACCCCCTTCGACGGTGCACGCTTCTGGGCTGCGTGTGGCGTCGGCCTCCGTCTGTCCTGTCGGGGCGGCCGGGAGCTCGTGCCAGGCAGCAGGGCAGTGACGCGGGAGGGCTCGGCGTCGTCCACTTCCTCCAGGTGACACAGCGCTCTTCCTCCCGCTGGCCTGAGCCGCGTCTGCCGTGCCCGTGGCCGGGACCCCCAGAGGGCCTCGTGTCCCGGGCTCCAGCAGGGCCTGGGCACGTTAGACCCTGCACCCCTTAGTCGTTTTTCCTGCTGGCGTTCGCGACGTAGTGGCCGAAGCTCCCGCAGCCAGACGTGCGTCCCCGTGCTCGCTGTCCTCGGCTCCTGGGCCGTCTGGGGGGCCGCGGGGGCCGGTTCGCACTCGCGGGGGGTCTTCAGTGGGAGGTGTGAGTTTTGACAGCTGCCTGCGGTGTCGGTGACACGTGGGGCTCCGGGCTGCTTCTCTGCCACGACCCTGGCCTCGGAGGGACAGGCCACCCTCCGTTTAAACCTGCCTCTGGTGGCGGGCGATTCGTTGGTCCCCAGAGTAGGGTGGTCGTGTGACCATCGAGGTATAGGCCGTGGGGATGTCTTTTTACTTCGGTAGTCACTGGCCACAGGGGGGCCGGTGGGTGTCAGCTTCGTAAGAAACTGCCAGCTTCCTGAAGCGGCAGCACCACCTCCACGGCCACCAGCTGAGCTGCCTTCCGCGTCGCCGTCTTCAGTTGTAGCCACTCAAACGGCCGTGCGCTGTCTCTGCCTGGCTATCGTTCTGTGCCTGTGGTGACTGTGACCAGCCGCCCCTTCCGCTGGCGGCAGATGCGTCGGAGGCTTTGCCGGTAGAAACCACCCCTCGCCCTCGGGAGGGCGGCAGTGGCCAGGGCTCGTGGGCTTGCCGTGGGGACACGCGCCTCGGCCCGCGTCCACGTCTGGGCTCTGTGAGCACCCCCACGACTGCCAGTGTGCCGCCAGGGCCCCTCGGGACGAGCTGAGGGCCGCTTCCTCTTTGGCCATCTCGTCTCGTGGTGGCCTCCGTGTAGCGCTGGAGTGCTTGCTCCTGGTTGCTCCTGGACGGTTCGGGAGAAGTGACCCACCTCGCAGCCTGCGCTGGGGTGGCTTTGTGAGACGGTTGCTCACGATTCACTCTCTTTGATGGTTGTAGGACACTTTCTTTGCCCCTTGGGGTTAGTTTCGGAAAAATATTTTTTCAGGGAATTTGCCCATTGTGTTCAGATTTTCAAGGTTATTGGCCTAAAGGCATTTCATACTATTCTTTTGTTTTTTTTTTTTGATGTCCGCAGGATCTGCGTCACTGTCCCCTTTAGTTCCTTGGGTTGACTCTTCGTGCAGATGGACACGCACACTGACCGGTCTCACCGAGGGCTCATCGGTTTTGTAAAATGAAATTAGTTCTCATCTTTGCTGCCGTCCGTGGCGCTCCTCAGGTTTACTGTGCTGTTCTTGTTCTCGTTTCTTAAGGTCCATAGCGCCTTATTTTTCTTTCCTTTCACGTACACAGTTGTAGCTACAAAATAAGTAACTCTTTAGCTACGTCTGACCAACTCTTGTATGCAGAATCGTTCAGTTTAAAACGTTTTCAACGTCTCCATCATTCTTTCTTTAACGTGGTAGATATTTTAAAGTTTCTAGGGACTTTTCCGTCGTCAAATTTGTTTCTTCTCTTTTTCTATCGTTCGTGTCTCACTTAGTCATGTCGAGGTTGGAGAAGGTGGTGGACGTGGCACCCGGTCCTTACGATGTTCTGGAACTTGCTGTGGCCCACGTGGTGGCCGGCCGCCTGCAGGCCCGTTCGTGCGGGAAGGGACGTGTCTGGCGCTGGGCGTGTGCGCTGCGCTGCTGCTCCCCCAGACCCTGCCACTGGAGCGCGTCCCCTCCTTGGGCACGACGAGTCCCGTCCAGGCTGGGCCTCCAAGCTGCCGGCCTCTTTGGGAACTGGCCCGCCTTGTCTCGCCCACTGGGCCGGGCAGTGTGGGCTGCGGGCCGTGAGAGCAGAGTGTGTGCGAGCGGCCGGCCCAGCGCCTGTGCCCGTCGGCTCCTGTGGGCCGCTGGACAGTGGTGCCGAAACGGGCACGTGGAGCCCGGAGAGGCTAGCCTCCCCCCGCCCGGAGCGGGGCGTCGGGGGTGCGGCCCTAGCCTGGGAGGACTGCGCCAAGGGCCATCGCACGCAGTGAGAAGGTCACTCACCCTCAGGGCCAGCTTTCTGGGAGTGGCGGACCGTGTGTACAGCGTCTCCTGGGACGCCACTCTCGGCTGCCCAGGAGGGTGCGCCCCGCTCTGCGCCTGTGGGCGGGGCAGCAGTGCTGGCCAGGAGGCCCCTGGGCGCACGCGCAGGCAGCCGCTGGACTGTGGGGCTCAAGGCTGGGCCCCCTGGTGGGAGGCGCAGGGAGCGCTTCCTGCACTGGGGCTCCCGGTGGGCTTCGGTTTCCCCGCCCGAGCACCGCTGGCTGGACGGGGCACCTGCGGACACACCGACGGGGCCCAGCCCGTGGTGGGCGGGCCTTCCTGCCCCGCAGCGGCCAGGGTCGGTGGGCGAGCTCCGGCCGTGCAGGCCTGGCCTGGTTCTGGACTCTGGTGCCTGCCCCTGGGACGCTGCCGTCCCCTCCTGGTCAGCTCTCCGGGGGCTGGTTCTGGGTGGCTCTGGCCCTGCCGCCCGCTTCGCTCGC